TTTAAAGAAGTACACTGCACAACAAGAAGAGGTAGTATTAGAAGAAGTACATTTATAAAGTGCATAATAGATAAACTTTCAACCCTAGAACTTAACAAAAGAAGACCAGATGTATATATAATGACAGAATGCCAAGTGTGCCAAGATAAAACAAAAGAAACATAGGCACACTTGGCCACATATAAGAGACAAAGAAATCTATTCAAAAAGTAACTATTGTAACAGCCTAGAAGGTGTTAAAAAAAGAAAAAAAAATTCGAGTTTTCTTATATATATTATATATAGCACTCTTTAAAAAAACAGAAATAAAAGAAATTAAAATAAGAGAGATACTAATTAAAGGTCTTATTTCAAAAGAAACACAAAACAAATTAAGGCAGCTTCTAAGTACAAAATCAAGACAGAAGTTTATAAATATAGTAGTAAAAACAGTCTGAAATACATTTTATGAACAAGTATAAATAATCTGATATAAGAAGATCAATAAATAGAAAAAAAATAAAGGAATAATAGGTAGAATAAAAAAAAGAAAAGGAAAAGAGAGAAAATCACTAAATAAAAAAGAAAAACCAAATTAGCAAGCCATAGCAAAAAAGAAAAGAAAAAGTAAAAAAAAAAGGAAAACAAATCAGAAAAGAAGTACAGAAAATAATTTTAAAGCTTGTCATGGAAGGAAAAAGACCCTTTCATTATAAACTTTAAGTAGTCAGATAAGCAACTTACTTTTGCTTGAAGTAATGCAGTAAGTTGCATTTAGATACTATTAGGGTAGCTAAGTAATATTGAGCTTAGTTATTAAGGATATTTATAAAATTGCAAATGTAATTTCAAAATCTTGATAAAGCACTAGCATGACTACTTAAGAAAAAAAATAAAAAAATATAAAAAAATAAATATAAAATACTAAGAAGCAGGCATACTTATAGTTGTTTAAAAAAGAGATTGAGTTTTTCTTTTTAATAAACTTTTCTTTTTATTTAATATTTAAACCAAAAGATTTTTTTAAGAACAATTATAAAAAAATTTAAGCTAGAACTATTAGAAACTTAGAATAACTACTATATAACTATAAAACCTAAATAAAAAACTACATATAAAATTTTAATGTTTTTTACTTTTCTTTAAGAAAAATTTTATAAAAATAAATAATTTAGTTTATTTTTTCTAAAAGATCAATATATAATAATATTTACTTTTTTTTTAATATTAAGATGAGTACATATAACTTATGATTTTATTGATAGTATATATTGGCTAGTATCTATTGATATAACAGACAGAGGTAATTATAGAAAGAGGTACTTATATAATTTTAGTTATTGTCTAATTTAAGTAGTTTGTCTAAAGGTTCTATACTAGTTGCTATATCTAGAACCCACCTGTAAATTCTTTAATTAAATATTCTAATCTTGTATCTACTACACTTTACTAATGACTTTAGTTAACTAGTAAAGATATGCTATAGTCATTAAGTTATATTTAATTTTGTATTAAACCTACCAGAGCCTTTTGTTTATATACTTATAGCTAATCTGGTATTACTTTAGTTTAAACTATTACTTGCAGACAAAACTAACTATTAAACTGTTATACTTTTGTAAGATTTATTTAAACTTTAGTACTCATCTTTCTGATATCTTCATCATTATCTTCTACTAGCTGAAATTAAGAACTGATAGGACTCTCTAGACTTTCAATTCAAATAATCTGATATGATATATCTTTAGTTAGATAATCTGATATAGTATATCTTTAGTATCTTTTTTTTTAGTAATTTTGATAATCTGATTAGTTATATGCTCTTCTATACATCTTATTATTTGGTTTATTTAATTATTTTTACTGAAAGTATTTCATAAGTTTTTATTAATCTGATAGCACTGTTGAAAGTTTGTACTACCTTTTTACTTAAGATTTCTAAGTAGGCTTTCAACTTCATAGTTTCTTTACTTTCTGTATTTAGTGATCTTATTATAGGTTTGTACTAAAGTCTTATACAACACTAGTTATTAATATTCCTTTATATAGATATAATATTATACTTTGTATAGATGTAGTTAGATATATATAGCAACAATAGCATAGTTTAGGAATAATTCTTTAGTAATACATTATATCTAATTGGTATATTCATGTATTATTATTTTTCTACTTGATATTATATTAATAAAAAAAAAATATTATAAATCATACTAAATAGAACTATCTTTACTATATTTTTATTTACTTAGAATATTTAATAAAATTATATAAAAAAAGCTTCAACTTGAATATAAAGAGTTAGTACAGAATACTGATTAGTTTAAAGATAATATTTTACAGATTTAAAGTATATATATAATTTATATTTGTATTATAGTATTGTTTTTAATCTATATCATTAGTAATTCTGTTTAAAAAAATAAAACTGAAATGTGATGACCTAGTAAAGTGATCAGGTTATCAATCCCTAAGTGACAAGTCTAGAGTTCAAATTCTATAGATAATAAATTTTAGAAAATATATTTGTGTTATAATAATTGTCTTTGTCGATTAGTTGGATTAGTATATTTGTAACTTTTAGTTATATCATCTCAAATGGCATCTAGTATGATATTATTCTCTTATTTTCTGTTATTAACTAAGTTAACTATTGTTAATATTTAACTATAAAAGGAGTAGAGAACTTTTTAGGAATATTAGTTTAATAAAAGTAAGTATGTATAGTGAAATTTTGAGAAAGAAGTTTAATAATAAAAGAATCTATATTAGTGTTAAAGATAAAAATAATATTATTAGAGTTTGTTAGTTTTAAGATAGATAAATAAATGTTGTTTTTTTTTTGTTAAGGCAATGATTTCTTATGCTAACTCCTACTTATGTTGTTTAATATTTTATTTTTGTCAGATGGCAGAGTTGAATCAAGTAAGTATTAAGTTTAATAATATGATAAGAAAATTATTAGTTGATTTTTTTAGAATAGGTTGTAGTTGTTTATAATAATCTAGAATTAATGTATCCTGAATGAGTAATAATAATAAGTTATTTGTATTGAGATTTAAAGAAGAATTATTTAGAATTTATATTATTGTATATAATGATGTTTCTGATAAGTTTATAGAGTTTAAGATATTTGTTATTTTATTGGTAAGGATAATATCTGAATTATATGAATAAAGAAAACATTTTAGTAAATATTTAGTATTTTTATATTAGTTACAAAATAAGCAGTTCAGAATTAGATATAGAGTAAAATAGCAAGTATTTAAATTAGATATTATTGGTAAGTTGTTGAGTAATATTTTGTTTCTGAATGAATATAAATTTAGATTAGAATTTTGAAAATTAATAATCTTAGTTAATAGTTGAATATTTATAGTAGAAAGGTTTCTTAATAGTTTAAGTTGAAGAAATTTGTTAAATGTTTGAATTAATAGTAAGTTTTTATAAAATTTATATAATTTGTATGTAATTGAAATTTGATTTTAAGTAAAGAATGAAGGAAAGTAGAAGTAGTTAAGATTAAATTTAAGCTTAGTTTTGCTAACTTCATGTTTAGTTAAGGTATTAGTTATATTGTGTAGTATGTTATTTGAATATAATTTGACTTTGTATATGATGTAATAGATGTTTTTGTGTTTAGTTAAAAAGTTTAGAATATAAATAATATTTTAATTATTTTGTTTAGTTTATAAGTTGTAGTTGTAAGGTATTGAGTATGTAAGAGTTTGGATAGTAGATAAACTATTGAAATGAATATGAATTTGGGGTTTATAATTTTTAAAAACCTAATATAGGTTTATAATTATAATTATTTAATAGTAGTATAATAGAAAGTTATATATGTTTTTTTTCTTTTTTTAATTTTTTTCTTTTATCTTTTTATTTCTTAGATTGTATCTTTTATTATTTATTCTTATACTTCTATGTTTTTTTATATATATTATATTAGTTTTTTTTGTTTTTGTTTACTTCTTTACAAAAAACATATCATCAAATTGATGATATCTTATTGTAGAGCAATAATCAGATATGACTTTCAGCATACTTTAATTTTTTATGAAGTTAGACAGTCAATGCAGTCAAATTGCTTATAAAGTTTATAGAAATATCTGCAAAATGTTGGGTCAAAATTTATGCAAACATGTATTATATGATACAAAGAATTATAATTAAAGTAACTAGCAAGACTGCTCAAGTAAATGAAAAAAAATAAAATAATTGAAAAAATAAATCTTCATAGTTATTGAATAAAAATGCAATTAACTTTACTAATTTTATTAAAAATTGCACAAAATTACATTTGGCTTCTAGTTTCTAGTCATGATAAAACACAGCTTTTCCTTATACAATAATCCTTTAAATAATCCTTTAAATAATGATTGCCAAAGTTTTTCACATAATTCTTTAAAGCAATTAAGCATGTTATATTTTAATAGCAATTAGTTTTTTTTTTTGTAAAATACATTTGCTTATTTTATATTTTTAACCACATTAAATCACAAAATCAATACTAAATTACCACAGAATTACGCAAAAATCAATTTTATTATTACAGAATTTCGCAGAATACATTCATAAAACAACACATGACATCACAAAATGTTTCTTAACCAAAAACAGAATTTTGCCTTAACCAAAGTTATTTGTTGGGTAATACTGTAATAATCACATGATATCGTTTATATAAAATTTAAGTGTAACAATAGTCAAAACAAACGTGTTTTGTTTTCAAATTAAAAAGTTGCGTGTAAAATTAATAATACCGTGTCATAGTTAGGATTAGGATTAAAAAAGAGCCACGTCTGCCAGTAAAATTCCACAAGGAACATTTTTAATTAGGCCGCAGAAAGTGCTTTCTTAATTAAATTTTATAGCTTTTTTTTGGTTCGATTTGATTTTTACGTTACACCTAATTTTGGACTAGTTACGTACGTGCGTGTTTCGCGTATGTCTGATCTGCAATATAAATATCTCCAATCCCAACATGCGTTTGTTATTTTCTTACTCATTGAGGCAAGATGACGTGCGACTTGATCGGAAAACAAAGTTATACACATAATAAAGATAAAAAAGCACATAATAAGGAAGTCAATGAAAATGCAAAGGAAAGGAAAAAACGAGAGTTTGAATGTGAAGCAGAAAAAGAAAACGTGATAAAGGAAGTGGAACAAAAACCCCAGAAAGCCAAAGCAAAAAAAGGTTAAATATATTAAATCTACTTAAAACAGATCATTGGATTAATACATAATATAATGTATTATACTTATTCCTTTGCCAGTCAAGTATCCGGTCGAAGATTTGGACGTGCCACCTGATATAAAATCTATGTTTTTAAAAAGACCTTCATTAAGACAAAAATTTAGCGTTCCGCAAGAATGTGTAGGAACCATGCTAGCAATTTGGAATTTTTTAATAATCTTTGGGTAAATTAACGTTATTAAAAATAACTTTTTTTAGTAGACATTAATCAACAATTATCTGCATGTATAGGAGGTCACTTTTCTTGTCATTTTGTACACTTGATGATTTTGAGCTTTCACTTTGCCATAATGTAGCAAGTCCCAGGTGTAATTTAGTGGTTGAGATGCACGTTGCATTATTAAACGCAATTATTAGAGATAGATGGCTTTCAAAAGGCAAAAGACGGCAAATTGTTCCCCGTAAAGCTGCTGTTAAAAGTAATATGGTTAATGAAGAAGAAGAAGAAGATAGTGATAGCGAAGATGATACATATTCATCTCGAGAAATATTACAAAAACTAGAACAGAAATGGGATAAAAAACCAATCTCCCTTAAAGATGGACGAAAAGGTTGGGTGAGCGTCCTTATTGGATGCATTCAACAGGTAATCCTAAGCATTTTTTAGTTGCATTAGTTGGGCCTTATTATGTTTCGTAGCCAGATGTACCAAATTAAGATCTTTCTTACAGTTAAGCGCGCACGAATCCATGCCGAATTTAGATCACATACTCTTACTCTTGGTATCAAATAGATTTTATTCAGAGAAATATTTTGAAGAAAATTTTGCAATTCTCAAGATACAAGACAAACTACAGATTCTGAGTTTCTTAGTTAACATTGCAGCAAAGACTTCAGCCGTTCATAGTCATATTGAGAATTGTGTCGAGAAATTATCAGAACTTAACAGGGAAAAGAATGGCATAATTAAAAGGAAGCGGCAAATGTAAAGTATTAATTTTCTGCAGAATTATTTTTTATTTTTTTTTAAGAAAAAGAAAAATCACACTACATAGTTTATCTTCCCTCACGGAGGTTTCAAAAGACAACATCCCATCTGAATCAATTTCTGAAACAAATTCCAATGAAATTACATTGGTTAATATAACAACTAATGACTTGATGACTCAAAAACACAAGCTGGAAGAAGAACAAGCCGTGATGCAAAAAAGAGTAGATATATTTTAAGAATTGAATAGATGTTATGATGAATTTACGAGAACCATTTTATTGTATAAATTTTTTAGGAAGAGGAAATTGAAATAGAAAAACGCAAATACGCGTTTCCACGAACTACGCCTTTGGGATATGACCGTTTCTATAATAAATACTACTATTTTGATTGCATTGGGGAAGCAGTTGGTGAAAGATATGGTGCAGGCAGAATTTTCGTAGAGATACCTGGTGCTCATGATTTGCAGGCAATGACTGAAAAAGAAGAACAACGATTTAATAAGAGAAGAAAAGGTGAAGACATTGACTATAGTTTAGGCTCCGATAATCAAGCACAATGGGGATACTATGAAGACGCAAGCCAGGTTTAACTATGATTTAAAGTGTGAACCCGAGTTTGGTACCTTTTTGATGCAGATTTTAATGTCGATATAAGACAATATGTTAGTTAATGATCTGCATCAATAAGATAACCACTCTTAGGTTTCATCCAGTCGTTGTGATTGATAAAAAGTGTAGTCGCATTTATCTAACACATCACTATAAAATTATTCAATAGATCGATGAATTGCAACGATGGCTTAACACCAAAGGATCACGAGAATTGGCATTGAATAATGAATTGACAGCATATTACCGAGATATCACTTCGGGCATGAGTAATCGACAACAGGTAGGAAAGTTTTAATTTGAATCGTTTAATGCAATATTAAGTATCAGACTATTAATTTGCAAATTGAAATTAGGACATAGTTTCTTCACGTACAGATCAAGATTTACGAAGAAGTAGGCGTACTATAGTAACATTGGCGGTACAATCGTGCATGAAGTGGTCAAATAAATTAGCTCAATGATATGCGCCTAGATCAGAAGGTAATTTCTGATCTGTTATTTAATAAGTTTTGTAAAAATAATATAATATATATTCATTCCTTTTATCTATTTTCGAATTAGTATGACCAGCAAATTTGTGAATCCTGGCTACTGATTATTCATTCTTCTGCATATAGATTCAAAGTTGTATAAATAAAATGCTGCGTACACATTCAATTTATATAGAAATTGGTATCAAGTAAATTCACATATTGTCTCCTTTATAATAAAAGATGTTATATTTGCATTTATAATTCTTATAGCTTTTAAAGAAGCAATTCTGATTTTCAATAATTTAAAGATTTGTAAGTTTCAGATTAGGTTCTGGGCATGGAATACCACAAGGCCATTATGTGTGCTATAGTTATGTGACATGTTTCATATATGATTGTCCTGCATATCGGAATCAAGCAACATAAAGGACGAGGCAACTTTTTGGTTGAAGTGTGATTGTTCTGATCAAAAAAAGCAATGTTTGTAGGCATGAGGGTTGAGATTTTAGGAATTATATAGTAACCCAGAGCAAAATCATCTCTTATAACCCGGGTTACTCCACATATGGAGTGACCTGGAGCGAACTCAGGTTGCTCCATATGGAGCAAAATTTTTTCTTATAACCCGGGTTGCTCTGAATATTCATTGATCATTTGAAATAACCAGTCGCATTAGAATTTTAATTTCATTCACATAATTCACATAATTTATTTTATTCATTTTTGCATCTTATGCCATGTCATTGCCATGAGCAGTTTCTTGCAATTTTTTTCTTTGATAAATGCATTAGAGTTCTTTTAAACACATTGCAAATCTATTTATTATCCGAATATAATAGGAATGTCGAACAGCTTACTTTCGGAAAGCTAGGATAAGGGAAAACCTATCATCAGGCTTTCAATTATATTTGTACCAGATATTCTAATTCATTAGGAATTGTATCTGGCACGAAATGGAATTAAAAGCCTGATGACAGGTTTTTCTTTGACGGTACTCATAAAATTGTTATGGTGATCTAATCAAATTGTAAAAAAAAAAACAGTGGAATTTATGAGGGTTCAAAGAATTGTTATAGGCAAAGTGAAGGCATGAATTTATCTGTTAAATTTAATCTCATTTCATAGAAAGTTAAGCTATCCGAGCTTTTAAAAGCAGTATTATAAAACATATAGAAAAAATAATTTATCAATTGTGAACTATATCGGAATAATCTATGAATTTGAACAATTGATTCTGTTTGTGTAGTTTGGAGCAAAATTATTTTTATAACCCAGAGCATTAACTCGAAGTACCAACCTGAAGTACAACCCGAAGTACAACTTGGAGTGTTAATTTAAAATATAACATAGGTTGGGTTGGATCAAGCCTTGCTTCATCTGATTTTAACCCAAACCACTTATTTACCTTTACTGCATAACAAAGCTCGGGCTGGAGCAGAAACAATAAAAAATATTGATTTATGTTGATTATATGTAAATCGACCAAATTATAAAGAAATCGATCAGATAAAATTAAATATATAGTTTGGATCAGACAACACAAATTTGGTCAACCTGAACCAGGGTCGATGATTTTCTGTGATTTACAGAAAACATAGTAACACTGTGGTGCCATAAGAAAAACTCCCAACAAAATTTTGCAGTCACATGATGATCGACGACAAATATGCAATTGTTAATCACGATTTGGTGTAACGTAACACGATCAGGAAAGTTCAAAACAAACGTTCGTTTTGTCAAAAATCGCATATTTCTCAAAAACCTGCATAAGAAATCACCGTCTGCGCATTAACAAAAAGTTTTCCTTGAGCGATTTTGCTATTAGAATTCCTAAAAATTCTATTAAAACATAGACCCTACCCTACTTAAAGAATTTTTGTAGATATTACATGACTGCAAAATTTTGTTGGCGATCCTGGGTAAGATCATAAGAAATCGGCAGTCACATGATAATCGCTATACATAATCGAAAGTTAATTGGCCAAAAATTTAGCCTGTTAGTCACATAATGATGATTATGTATAATTATTATTTTATTGGCTAAGTTTTATAAAAATAAATATAATAAATAGATATTAAATAAACATATCTAAAAAATATAATAAATTGCTAAATAATCTAAGCAATTTCTTAATGGTTTTAATTTTTACATATTTGACAAGAAGATGCTTTATTTTATTCTAAGCAAAAAATTTATATATAAATGCATTCTGTATTAAATTAAAACTAATGTATTTAACTAATTATTCTTAAACATAACTTATCATTATCTAGTTTAAAATTAACAAAAAATATTTATTCAAATTAGCTTTTTTGATTAATTTATTAGGTTTATATAAATTTTTTTTTTGATATTAAGGTGAGTTTTTGCTTGTATCTTTATTAATAATTTAAAAGTTAGTAACTATATAAAGTTGCTATATACAAAAAGTAATTTTCTATATAAATGCTATATCTAAAACTAATACTTGCAGTCAAAGTTAGATTATTAAATTGCTAACTATATAACTATTGCTTAAAGTACAAATAAAAAAAAATTATATTCAAAAATAAAAGCTCAGATATATTTATCTGTAACTTAAACCTACTAAAATGATTAAAACTTATTTAGATTTGTAAGTTTAGAATATAATTATAAAAAATATTATATTTGATTCAAAGAATAATTTAAATATTAATTTTATAAATAACATAATTGATAGGTAGACAAATGTTAGAATTGAAGTATAGTTAGTCAGATAGTTTATAAAGACAAGAATAAGTATAATTTTTATAATTAAAGTTTCTTCTGTTGCTTTAATTTAATTGAAATAAAGGTTTAGAATAGAGTAGTTTAAGTTTTTGTTGTTGTTTTTAGTTAGCAAAATTTATATAATATGGTTTTTATATTTGTTTATAAGAAAGTTTATTAACTTTAAGCAGAATAATAATAATTATTTATGAGACTAGATTATATAAAATATTAAAGTTTAGTATAGTATCAATTAAAGATTTAGAAATAAGTTCTTTAAGTATAATATCAAGATAGTATAAATTTGTTTAAGAAGGTATATAGTAGAAAGTATAATAATTACTTATTTTGTAAATGAATTTTTTTTGCTAGTTTATAAATAAATCAAGATTTGTATTAATATATTCAGATATATTATTTGAATAATATTGAAAATAAGTAATAGGTTTGAACATGTATACTAGTAAGTTAGAAAACTAGCTAAATTGTAATAAAAACAATATTAGATCAAAGTATATATATAATTTTTATAATTTATAATTATTAGTATTCTAGTTATATTCAAGTAATATTACTTTAATTTAAATTTTTCTCAAGTATAATTATAATAACTATATTTTTTATAGTAGTATTTGAGGTTTTATTCAAGACTATTTTTTAAGTTAAATAGTACTCATAAGTACTATTGTTAAACTTAGAACATATATATTCATGCAAGTAATAAAGTGAATTTTTCTACCTTACAATAATAAATCTAATGAAAGGTTCATTTATAAGTGACTGTAGAGAACTATTGTTAAAGAATAAATTTAACTTGTAATAATAATAAATTTTAACCTAATTGTCAGTAATTCTTAATGTAGTAAGAAATATTGCAATTATTAGAAAAATTAGAGTAATAGTTTTAACATAATGTAGACTATTCAGAATAAGCTAGATCCAAATCAAAATCATTCACCAAATTTACACTTTTTTTAATAAAAGCCATTTGATCATTACATAAAGCTAATCTTTAATTGGCAACAGACTCACTGAAATAGAACCTCTTACTATATAAAAAACTAGCCATTAAATATAAAAAATATATTATATAAAAGTAATAAATTAAATATAGTTATGTTTTAAGTATTATTCACAAATTAAGCCAAATAGGGTGTGGGTCCCATAGCTTAATTGTTAAGCTCCCATACCTCCACAGTCAAGGTCAACGGTTCAAGTCCGGCTGGAGGCAAAATCCAAAAGATTTTAGTCTCTGTAACCTATAAGGAGGCAGTAATTGAACATGAAGCCCTGTGGTTAAGTCCAAGTGCAGTACATAATGGAAAAAGGAATTCCTGGAAGGAGACTGACTTTGCAGAGAGCAGGCACTATGGGTGACAACGGCATCACAGAAGGTTCTGTTATATGAAGTATTGCGCATATAAGTCCTCTGAAGACGGGGCAGTACCAACATCTTCACATTCAACTTGGGAAGTAATTGATTGGGAGAATGATACCAAGGTAATACACACTGGAGTGGTGAGAGAAGCAGTGCATGCATAGAAGGTCTGTAACAAAGGATTAGCCTTATTAAGATTGGAAGCACCTCTGGCATTGTAGAATGACTGAAAATAGAAGGTAGCTGTACGTATAAAGAAGTTGTAGCCTGTTTTGTATGTCTAAAGGTACCAAACCGGAGCTCTGATCACACCTATATGAAAGCCTATAGCAAAACAAGTGGAACACACCAACATAAATGCTGTACCAATCAAAGTTAAGATACCTAAATTGGAAGTGACCTTTGCGAACAAGCATGGGGCATCTGTGGGAATGCAGATTTATACAGGTATCTGT